TCCTTTCTCTCTTTGTGAATCCCCACCTTGAAAGTCACAGTTTTCTTCTCCATATGTTTCTTCTCGAAGAGTTTGTTCCTTGAGATCATCTGTTTTCAGGATCTCTATTTCCACCAGTTGTTGTTTTCACTTGATCGATAAGCTGCTGGTAGCAATTTGCAAATGCCAGCAATTCTGACATTCTATGAATTTGTTATCTTGAAAAGAAGGCTCTTATTGCTCTTTTGCTTCCTTTTTGTGTCAACAAATCTTCTTAGCATTGTTAAATCCTGATACAGATCTCTGTAACCAGATGATAGTGACGACCCCTTGTCATCTCTCTTCTGAATTTCCTGATTTGAATTTTACGTTATTTTCATTTACTGAAGCCCCCCTCCCAATAATTGCAGCCTAAGCCTTATGTCCTGTATAACAGTGTACTAAGTGGAAATAAATACAATGAGCAGCCGCCCCCCCCCCCAAATGAATTTCGTTCCCACAGCACTGTCTCTGACAGTCAGATACCCTGGGCATCAGAGCCACATAAATTAGAGAGCGGAAATAGAAGATAAGAGTACGCTCATTCGCTTCTCTGCTTGGCACTCTGTTTACGCGATGTGAATTTTGTGATTCTGGGACCCAGGGTACACATAAGTTTAGACCCCGTTTACACTGTCCCGTGCAAGTTTGGAACCGTGACAAAACTGTCGCGGTTCGCCCTTGCGTTTACACTAGCACTGTGGAACCGTGACGATTTTGCTCTGCTATCCGGAACAGTTTTGACCCTGCTTTGAAAGCGAACGAATTTTGTACCGTCACGGTTCCGTTTTTGAACGGGACAGTGTAAACACCTATCCGAGACGATTTTGTCACGGATTCACAAAGAGGCCTTTTGTATGGCTGTTTCGGGTAATCGAGGCTTTGATTGTGGCGTAACTACGTTCTCAAATTCTGAAGAAAAGGAAATTCTGAAGAAAAGACGACCACAGAAAAGGCTTCTAGTGTTTCCTAGTCCAAGCCTTGATTGGACTTTGCAGTTTTGTAGTCCAAAATAACACTGAAAATTAAAGCCACCTTGTCTTTCGTCCAAGTAAAGTTTTAATCGGCCTTCCGCTCCATTTTAACTCACAATAAAAATTCGATTGTTGACTTCAGCGGCAAAATAAAAGCCTTGGTTGACTAAATACAGCTTCTTCAAAACAATGTTCTACCATTAAATTAAGGTCGTACCGGTACAGTGTAAACGGAACGGCTAAACGGAACAATTTGGAACCGCGACAGTGTAAACACTTGCGAACCGTAACGGTACAAAATTGTCCCGGGACAGTGTAAACTGGGTCTTAAACACATGGCTGAAATAACGGAAACCAGGGTTTGGGTGGTTTGAAGCGCATGTATTGGGACTTTAATCGCAATATAATAAGTCGAGGGCTTTAAGTATTTGACATTAAGTTAAAAAATTTTCTCCAACGCGGAAAGGCCAGTAAATTTTGTGTACACAGGGCCCGGATGGCGATCGCCACTTTGCCACCCGGGCCAGACCACCTCTGTCAAATACGCCTGTTGGGCAAATATGCAAAATTCATGTAAATCTTAGATGATTTGTGTCCTTTAGTCTGGATAAATCATTAACTATAGGAACAGTTGTGTCTGATTGATGCTGTAAACACGTTTATACAGCATGGCAACTCGGTTAAAAAGGAAGTTGTTGATTTTGGGCATGCTTAAATGAATATAAAAAACAAATCAAATTTTAGAAGATTGTTTGTTTCTCATAACAGAGTCTTGGAAGAACTCTATGAAGCGCACGGAGATACGTTAGCAGTTCAATATGGTGGTTCTCAGATGGTTCACAGGTGATATTGAATTCTTTTACGTTTGTTTCCTAATTGCTCTCCTTTATTGATCAAGCTTAACCGGATGGAGCTGCAATTTAGAACCATTGTTTTCTATAAACCGGAGCAGGTAAAGCTCTGCCTACCCGGCATACGGCACTTCAATGCTAGACCGGTAAACAGTAATTTTTATCATGTTTCCTACTTGAATGCGAGCATCCCAGAATAGTTTTTGCTATAGTAATACTTATACAACCTTGATCTATTCTCACAAATTACCTCACTTTGATATTGAGGTTTTAACGGGAAAATCAGAGCTGAATTGTTCTCAAAATTAGCAATGAAACGACTCTAAGTTTCCATTTAGAAGAAAGTCAAAATCTTTTCATTCAACACAGGTAATATGTTTGAGAGATCGCTCGATTCACTGCCTCGCGATTATATTGTAGTATTCTCCTGCTATGTGAGTATAAAATATTAGGACAAAACCAGAATGTTTGCATGAGATAAGTTATTTCGTGTCAAGTGATTCATAAATTCTAAGTGTTGAAACAGTGGCGGACACCTGGGGGGCGAGGGGGCGACCCCCCCCCCCCAATACTTAAGAGGACAATTGTCTTTTGTTCTAAAACAATGGGAAATATGACGTCATCTTATTAAAACAATAGGCTTGCCCCCCTCAATATTTGACCAAGTGTCCGCCCCTGTGTTGAAGGATAGTCAAACTTGAAGAATCTCGTTAATCAGAATTCGCATGTCATTAGTCGATCGATGTAGAGAATCACATTTGAAAACCGCAACTATAGTTTGATTTGAACAGTTGAACTTTAGACGAACGATCTTATCTATATATGTCAAAGTAGAACATTTTGTCTAGTATGGCAAGTATATTTCACATAAAGGCTTTAAATGGTTAAATGTATAGTCAAAATCTTGATAATATTGGACCTCAGAACCATTGAATACGCTGCGTGCACAATCCTGTTTTGTTGATGTTATTTAAATACCTGCTTTCGAAAAAAATATTATCTCAAGATCCAGTCCATTCTGAAATGTTTTTGTTTATCTATCTTCAGAATTCGAACATATCGAAAAATTTCTCCGTGGACGTCACATTCAAGGGATATCATGCAGACAGTGTCCAGATATTACAGCAATGCCTTCACTGGTATGTAGAATATGTGTTACTGTTGTTTATGATTCAATGCTATTTTCTCTTCAGGTTTCTATTGTCTTTTACGCAATACCATTGGCTGGTTGAAAATGTAAACAAACAATCTGATTTGCTCAAAACATTTTCATCCTTGTTCTGGTATGTGGAACGTGTGTCACCATAAGTTCTAGATTGTTACATAACATCACTTCGCATTGCGATTTCATTTTCATTTTAAACTCATATTTGGACTTTTTTAATGCTCTAAATAAAAAAATTGTAAGAATTGTAAAAACCTATCAAAAGTTGTAATTTTTATTTATTATTAAAATTATTGCAGACAACGACAAGCAGCAGGCAATCAATTTGTTTCTCGGTGTATTCATACCTAAAGAAGGCACTTTGAAATTATGGGATCTTCCAACAGACTATTACTTACATCATTGCGACACAATGGATCTTCAGGGTAAAGCATTCAAGCCAAGGTTCGTTTATGACATCAGTGCTTGTAATATAGCGCATCCTTGTCCAAACTGAATGTTCGCAAAACCCTATGTTGTTTTTGTGTCTCATTTGTATCGATGCTGTTGAAATAGCATAGAAAGGTCTAGGAACTTATGCATGCTTTCAAGTACGTTGAATGTTTATTTCTTCCAAAAAGTACGCTGAAAAACCATGTAGTTATTAGGACGCTGAAAAACCGTGCTTATTGAGCAGTACCCTGGACCTTCCTCTCGATGTGACCACATCTCATGATTTCGAGAAAAAAAACGCAAAAAGCTGGTGACTCTTCTCATTCTTAAGCTTAAGTTTGGCCGTATCAATGACCCGAACTCCAGCCCCTTGTATCTTTTGTTCCGAACTCCAGCCCCTTGTGTCTTTAGTCCCGAACTCCAGCTCTTGTGTCTTTAGTCCTGAACTCCAGCCCCTTGTGTCTTTAGTCCCGAACTCCAGCCCCTTGTGTCTTTAGTCCCGAACTCCAGCCCCTTGTGTCTTTAGTCCCGAACTCCAGCCCCTTGTTTCTTTTGTCCCGAACTCCAGCCCCTTGTGTCTTTAGTCCCGAACTCCAGCCCCTTGTTTCTTTAGTCCCGAACTCCAGCCCCTTGTATCTTTTGTCCCGAACTCCAGCCCCTTGTGTCTTTAGTCCCGAACACCAGCTCTTGTGTCTTTAGTCCCGAACTCCAGCCCTTGTATCTTTTGTCCCGAACTCCAGCCCCTTGTATCTTTTGTCCTGAACTCCAGCCCCTTGTGTCTTTAGTCCCGAATTCCAGCCCCTTGTGTCTTTAGTCCCGAACTCCAGCCCCTTGTTTCTTTAGTCCCGAACTCC